TGGAAACTACACCGTGACACTTCACTTTGCAGAGATAATTTTCAGAGATAACAACTCTTTCCAGAGTCTTGGAAGACGGATGTTTGACGTTTATATCCAGGTCAATAAACAGTTCTTTTTAGTGCCATTTACTGTTGCAATTTGACTCAACTTATTCAACTTAATACAGGACGAACAGAAATTGAAAGATTTTGATATTGAAAAGGAAGCGAAAGGTGTTGATAAAGTTGTGGAAATTCCATTTAATGTGACGGTTAAGAATAAAACTCTGGATATCCGGTTTCAGTATTCTGGGAAAGGATCAACAGCCATCCCTAGACGAGGCACATATGGCCCTTTGATATCAGCTATTTCCGTGGAAGCTGGTAAGATAGTCTGTGTATACCATTAAATTTATCACAAACACCTCTATCTCTCTTCATTGTCAATAAGAATTTTTAATTTTTTTATCTGTTTATTTGAGAAAATATGCAATTTATCTGCACGACCGGATAATCTTTTGCAACTTAAGCGACAAAACTCGAGTGTCGTTGGCACTTGACTTAGTACTCCGTTAATTATTCTATTATCTTTCTTTTTCACTTGCTATTGCTCTCAAATTTCCTATACCAATTCCTTTATGTAATTATTTCTGGTGCTAGGCAAACTGAACACCATGTAACGAATTATTCTTTATTTCTTTCATTATATAGATTTTAAGCCTCCATCGAAAGGAAAGAAGAACATTTTCATCCCAACAGGAGTAACAGCTTTGGCAATTTTTCTCATTCTCATTATTCTCATATTTTCATGTTGGAAAGGCTATATAGGAGGCAGGATCTCAAGGGAACAAGGTGAGCAAATAGACCTTTCTTAGTATTTAAGCAATAATGTAAATTTTGAATTGTCGTATTTAATTTTATGGATAGTCTTACAGTAGTAATGCATCAGATGACAACTATGGAAGTTACTCTCAAATTTAGGATAAATAATTTTCTCGTGGTGATGTGACCATGGCCAAGAAATAGATCAAAGAAAAACTAGAACGTAATCTCTTGTGAGGGTGCATAGATGGACATGCGAAACTCATATTTACTGTATAGAGAAAAAGAGAGATGACGAAATGCTTAGCAATATAGCTTACAGTGAATTCCACATCTAAAAATTGCTCCTTTCCAGAACTAAGGGGATTAGATTTGCGGACTGGCTTTTTTACTTTTAGACAAATCAAAGCCGCTACAAACAACTTTGATGCTGCAAATAAAATTGGGGAAGGTGGTTTTGGATCTGTCTACAAGGTATGTAGCAATATGAACTACCAACTTTTCCCTCTTATACTTTGTCTATACCTTCGCGCTTATATTGTTCTAACATTTCTATATGCGTGCATATGTGACTATAATGCTTCATTTGCAGGGTATACTCTTCGATGGTAGTGTAATTGCTGTCAAGCAGCTGTCTTCCAAATCAAAGCAAGGGAACCATGAATTCGTGACTGAAATAGGCATGATTTCTGGTTTACAGCATCCAAATCTAGTAAAATTGTATGGATGTTGCATTGAGGGAAGCCAGTTACTGCTGGTGTATGAATACATGGAGAACAATAGCCTTGCCCGCGCTTTATTTGGTAACTGAATTTTGTACCTGCATTAGCATTCTTTATTTCAATAAATTAAAATCTAGTCTAATATACCAATTCAGTATTTATAATCTGATACACACGCTTAATGGTATCTTATTATCAAGTACAGGACCAGAGGAATGGCAAGTAAAAATGGACTGGCCAACTAGACAAAGAATTTGTATCGGTATAGCAAGAGGCTTGGCTTTTCTGCATGAAGAATCCACATTGAAAATTGTTCATAGAGACATAAAAACCAATAACATTCTTCTTGATAAAGACCTCAATCCAAAGATTTCCGATTTTGGTTTAGCCAAACTTGATGAAGATGATAACACCCACATCAGCACTAGAGTTGCTGGGACAATGTGAGTTTTTTCCTCTTTTCTTCATTCTAATCTCTTCATTCTTTTAGTTGATCAATAAAAAATTTATTTATTATAATATTCACTTTATTTTACCTATAAGTAAACTTTTTAGACAAACTTGAATAAAATGAAAGCAGTTTAAAGTCTCTGGGAATATTTAGTATCATTCATTTTCAACATTAATTATTATAATTCAGAACATCGACATGTAATATATGAAGTTTGAACTTTCTTATGAGAAATAGGAGTGAAAGCTTGTGCTAATATGCAATTGATCATTTTCATTTTGCAGTGGGTATATGGCTCCTGAATATGCAATGTGGGGTTACTTAACCTACAAAGCAGACGTGTACAGTTTTGGCGTGGTTGCACTAGAAATTGTTGCTGGAAAGAACAACATGAAATATCGTCCCAGTGAAAATTTCTTTTGCCTTCTTGATTGGGTAAGAAGTTTGTATTTTCTCCACATCAGATAATGGAGTTTTGTTTCAATAACCTGTTTTTAGTTCTTATGTCCATGAAACAAGGTCTTACGCAATGGCCTTTTTTCTCAGGCTATGGTTTTGCAGAACGAAGGAAGGTTGATGGAGCTCGTGGATCCAAGGTTGGGTTCGAATTTCGTTATGGACGAGGCAGAACGAATGATCAAAGTTGCTCTATTGTGCACCAATTTATCTTCGGCCCTAAGGCCTCCAATGTCCACAGTCTGTGGCATGCTTGAAGGATATATAAATGTAGAGGAATTTAAGATAGATCCGAGCATCTATGAAGATGAATTGAAGCTTCAATCACTCAGAGAGAAATTTGAAGACTTGAAACCTAATTCAAGGGAAACTCAGACCCTTTTGCATCCTTCTGATGCACAAGAAATTGGCTCGTCGTCTACATCTTCCAGAGATTTCTATCCAGTCAACCGTAAATCTCTGTAATGATATAAACGGTACACAGGATATTAGAAGCAGCAAATGTCGTACTCTTGAAAGTTGCCAGCAAATGTCTTTGTGTCATACAGTATATGCCCTTAATAAATACATGAAAAAGTGCATATTTTTACGGCTTGTTTAGTAAGGTGAAATGCAAAATAATTGATAGAAATTAAAGAAAAAAATTGTTCGATTTCTATGTATACACATGCACTTATTGTTCTTTTTCTTTGCTCAAAACTATTCCGACTGTATCCAATTAGGTACGTTTTTATGCTTTTTATGATCATATGCCACAAACGCTTTCACATTTAGCCCCCGTTTGGTTTAATTAAAAAAGTTGATAAAAAATTAAAATTAAAATTAAAATCAATATTTAATTTTAACCACACATTTAGTGATATCCACAATTATAATCTATTTTTCAAGCATACATCCCATTAATTTTATCAAAATTTACTAAAAATCTGATTTTTAACTAAACTAAACAAGGACTAAAAATTGTGATAGAATTCATGAATTCAAATGGTTAGTGAACACGCTACATGAAATCGTGTGTTGCGGGTTGTATAAGGCTATTCAGCACCCTACGACCTACCTACTAATTATGTACTAGTTCTATTAATTTATTAGTGTATAGCCAAATTAAGCCCTAGTTTGTAGGGATTAAAATAGAGGGATATTTTAATCTAAATCGCAGTCAACAATTAAATTTAACCACATATTTCATGGAATTTACAACTTTTTACTACGTATTTTATCATTTTCTTTTATCAAAATTTACTAAAAAATTAATTTTAATCCCTACCAAACTATGGCTAACTTTTGTATAACGGACTAACAAACCAATTTGTTTGTGTTGTTTTTATATTTGAACTAGTCAAAAATTGCCAAACATAAAGGAAAAAAGTTAAAGTTCCGACCCGTTTTCAAACTACTTTCTTTCAGATGGCCTTTTTCCTTCCAACCCTTGACCATTTGTCATTTGATCGTATTCTACTCAATCACCAATTGTCCATACCGAACACCAAAATCAATGTATACGAGGTATAAAGTGCCAGTTATTCTTCGTGGGTCCGCTATTATTGTTCTTCACTAATTTTTGAAGTTCTTAGTTTGTCTTTAACTTTCAAAAAAGAATAAATAAACTCTTGACCGCCAAGTTTCGGTTTTGTTATCACACGACTTTCATAGAAATATGTTTGATTTCCAATTACCCATTGTCATTTTTTGTTATTCTGTTCAATCGCCAATTGTCATTTTATGTTATTATTATTATGTTCAATCACCAATTGTTCATGTTGAACACCAAAAGTCAATGTATACGAGGTATAAAGTACTTATTTTTCTTAGTGGGGTCCGCTATTATTGTTCTAATTCGTAGTCAGTCTCTATCTTTCAAAAAAGAATAAATGCATTCTCAACCTTCCAATATAAAAACACGTTCCCAGTTTTCATTAAACTATCTCACAACTTTCTTAGAAATATTAATGTCTCATTTTCAATCACCAATTGTCATTTTGTCTTAATTGATCAATCACCAATTGTCTATACTGATCACCACAGTCGATTTATACGAGGCATAAAGTGCTTATTTTTCTTCATGGGGCCCGCTATTATTGTTCTAATTGTTGAAGCCATTTTCAACCATGTGTTGGAATATACAATTCAGCAAAACAGATCACACGTGCATCAGCCTTCTTCAGTTCACGTTTCCAGCATCTCATCAGCTCACATTGCCTGCACAGCTCTACTTCCAGATTCTTCTTCAGTTAGCCTCTCACGTCCAGCATTCTAGACTCTTCTTAGTTTGTTAGATTGTTAGCATTTTCTCTATAAATAGATCTCTTGTATGCATTGTAATTCTCAAGTTGATTGAATCTAATTTCATCTTCTTCCCTGCTACAGTAGGCTCTATCATTTTCAGATTTTAGTTTCATTTCATTTTCTTCTTTTGCTGATTTCACGTTCACTTGTGCTGGTGCACATTTCTGCTGAGCTGGTTCTGTTCTTGCTGGTTTTCAGTTTCTCAACATGCTATCAGAGCAAATGCTCCCTTCCATCTGCAACTCTGTCACTTTCATTCTCGTCCTCCATGTGTTTGTCAAAATGCTCCTTCCGTCTGCATTTTCTTCTCTGATGCCTACTTCTCCAAAACTATGCAGAGCTATGGTTCTTAGCTCTTGTTCCTTGGATCATTTTTATCAGTTTTCTGAGGCACAGTCGTATGAATGGCCAAACGGGAGGAACATCATCTGCCATAAGAATAGTATTGATACTAGGAAGAAAAATTACAGGACTCCAAATGAATTCACCATTATCCTTCTGCTCTATAGACGATATGATCAGCCGGTATGTCTGCCATTGGGGGAACTTCGTTCAGATATGTTTTTCACTCAGTTTCAACAACTGATGTCCATTCCAGCTGCTCCTGAGCTTTTAATCACTGAGCCTCCGGTTTCGATTTCTGCAAGTGCAGCAAGAACGGAGGATGTCATCAGTAATTTCCATCAATGTGTTATTCCGCCATTGATGATGTTTTTATGTTGTTCGAACTCCTACAATTATTATGGCAGATTTCTGGTTTCTGCACCTCTTTTTATTCAGCCCAGTTTCAGAGCAATGGTGCTCACTAAATCCAACAAATCAGCAGCAACTTCAGATTTAACACTTCAGCAGCAGCTTCAGATTTCTTTATTTCCATCATCTTCTTCAAATTCAAGATGTTCCATCTTGAGGGGGGTGTGTTGGAATATACAACTCAGCAAAACAGATCACACGTGCATCAGCCTTCTTCGGTTCACGTTTCCAGCATCTCATCAGCTCACATTGCCTGCACAGCTCTACTTCCAGATTCTTCTTCAGTTAGCCTCTCACGTTCAGCATTCTAGACTCTTCTTAGTTTGTTAGATTGTTAGCATTTTCTCTATAAATAGATCTCTTGTATGCATTGTAATTCTCAAGTTGATTGAATCTAATTTCATCTTCTTCCCTGCTACAGCAGGCTCTATCATTTTCAGATTTTAGTTTCATTTCATTTTCTTCTTCTACTGATTTCATGTTCACTTCTGCTGGTGCACATTTCTGTTGAACTGGTTCTGTTCTTGCTGGTTTTCAGTTTCACAACACCATGTACCAAAATTTAAGATATTTTTTGTATGAATCATGCTACATGTACAACATTGATTCATAACATTAGTTGACAACATCTTATTTGACATCATCATATCCATCCATTTTTAAAAAACTGTTTTCTACATCACATACTAAGATTTTGACAACTCATGGTTGTCAACAAATGTTGTACACTTAGCTTTATTCTTTTTGCATCATTTTGCATCAAATTTTATGCCAAATTGAAAATCATCTCAAATCCATTACATCAATATATATATCAAATAAACAATGTTTAATCATTCTTCATTTTTTATTCTTAAAAATTTATTTATTTGAAAATTTATTTATTTATTTATTTTACAACTGCACAAAATACAAAATAAATATTTAAGTTAAATTAACGAAAATATTAAATTCACTTGTTTTATGTAACGTTTTCCTTAAATAATTGTAGAATGACATGCATTTGGTTGTAGTGACATTTTCGTCTTAACTTTAACTAATCGTTTTTGTTATATTTTAAAACTTCTTAAGTGCTTTTATTTTAATTCATTTCTTAAATTATTATTGATTACATAATTAGAAATTATTACAAATGCACATAATAAAAATAACGATAACAATAAGAAGAAGAAGAATAGAAAATAAATATATAACAAAAATGGACACAAATGCCCTTAATAATTTATTTATTTATTTATTTTTTTTTTTTTGCAAAGTGAAAGAGAAGGGTAACATGATATTTTCCATTTTGGTGCAAAATGGTGCAATAGGTAGGAGGAGATTTGCATCAAATATTTGGTACAATTTGGTGAATTATGGTGCAATGGTGCAAGGTTAAAGATGCCATTAGCCCCTCTTTAACTTTCAAATAAAAAATAAAAATAAATGAATTCTCAACATTTTAATATAGAAACATGACCAAATTTCGTTAATTATTACACAACTTTCTTAGAACTATAACTCTCTATCAATATACACAAACCAACTGAGGTGGGAAACAAAAATTAATTTCAAAAACTTGGACACATAAGCTCTAACTTCTATGTGAAAATTTGATATAGATTTGAACGGTTTCGTCATAAGGTTTCATTTGTGCAGTGATCAATTCACTCTTTTTCAAAATCTTAAGACTGAATTGATACTCACATAATATGCTGGGGACACACATTGTAATTCTTCCATTCAAAATTCGGACAACGCTTTTCTTCCATTACCATCAAGAAAAATGTTAAATGTACATTATAGTGTACATTATGGTTGACAACCATAATGTCCGTTTGAACAAAACAATGTTGTTAAGTCCCAACCTCCGACTCCATAATAGTAAAATAAAAATTAAACAAAAACTCAAACTTTCAATCTTTTTCAATATGATACAAACACAGTGCAATGCAGAATTCCTAAGTTTTTCTTTTTCATGGACACCAACAGCACAGTTGTTTTAGAAAATGCACTGATGTCCACTCTTTGTAACTCAGTCCAAGCACTGGGCCGTGGCTTTGACGTAACCTCTGACATCATGCCGCTGTACTGTAAAGGGGCTCCTGGTTCACGTTTGGTGCCTATTAATGAAGAGGATACAAAGAAACTTGAGTTGTCTGAATCTTATGTGATTCCTAACGTTTCTGTTGATATTGAGTGCTCCAAAGGCCAAATTTCCAATGACATCACCCCAATTTGGAGTTTCCACCAGGTCAGTTTCTATGTTAAGTTTTGGTCCTTTTCTTATAATTTTTTAGCTCAATAGCTGATTTTTTAATCTGGGTTCTTTTCTTAGTTTGTTATTAGTTTTGATTTTGGTGGTGGGTTTTGTTGATTGTTCTTGGTTGGATATGGAATCATGGACATGTTTTGGTGGTTAAATTACTGTTTTTTGGCTATTAGGATTCTGTAAAACTCATGATTCTTTTTGGGAGGTGGGTAGGTTACTTTGAGTCTAGCGAAGGAACAGACTTTTTGATAAGTCGGTCTTTCCTACTTATTTAAGCTGATTAGAATTCAGGGACTCATTTTCCTGATGATTGACCATGACATGTGAAAATTAAAATTCCCCTAGTTTTGATTATGTGCGAGTGCGACTCATATAATGAATTTTCTTTCCAAGCCAAAGCAAATATCTGAAACTTGATTCACATTGATATTATGTGGACGATGTTATGCTTTAAGTCCAGTAAGGTTTGTTTTTTATGCCTAAACTGTTGTGGTCTAAAGGTTTAAACCTTGGGTTTGGGAGGAAGAGACTAACCTTTCTTTCTGAAAGCAGCCTCTGCCAAATGTTCCTACATTCTTCTGAAAGTGGTCATCAAAGCAGTGCAAAAATTTTCAATTTTGTGCTAATAAAACCAAGGTAGGAATGTAGAAGGGTCGGGATGGGGATGGGGATGGGGATGACATAAATCTTCCATTGAGTAAGGGTTTTAGAACATCATGGATTTTTTCAGTTCCTCACTTGCATTTGTGTTAATGGTACTCTCAATTCAAATGAGAAATGTTGGTTCAGTATTTATTTAGCTTTTTGATGATAATTTGACGAGAGTGAATTTTAATGCTTTTCTCATAATTGAAACTGAAAATTCTAAATATTTAGTTTAAGTTCTTTACATTTATAAGCTTACCATATAACATATATTAGAACTTGACGCAACAGCATCCGAGTCAGACGAAGCCGAGTTGTCCGATAGCTCGTTGATGGTGTTGAGATACCATGAGTTGTCGGATCAGCGTAAAAATGGCAAGTAATCGACGATCTTTCCTAATTGGGGCCGTTTTTTAACACGTTTTAGTATTTTGACCATAACTTTGACTACAGTTATCAGAATTGCGCTCATGATCCCAATTTTGAAAGATCTTTTCGACGAGCATGTCATGGTCTTGGTGCGTATCGATTTTGAGGGCAAAATCTGCTGTCTTCCCTTCCGAATCCCCAATTTTAATTTTTTTTTCCTTTTTTTAGTAATATTTCGTTTGCCTTTTAAACATAGATTACGAACTCAAATTAAACTAGATTTTTGGGATATTGTTTATTTTATTGCGTACTTTCTTTTGGTATAATATTGAGATTTTGCTATTTTTGGTAAAATTCCAATAATTATGGTTTTTCAGCTATATAACCCCGACTTGTGGGTTATTTTAGGATGTTGGATGAATAATAAAGAATTATCTTGTTTTCTTGGTCTTTTCTCTAGCGTTCTTTTCTGTTAATTATCTGCCGAATTTCAGCCTGCAGAATAATCGCTATTCTGCCTAGCGTCGGAACTTGTATTGAAAACTGACTAGCAGCTTCCCAAGCATTTTGGATTAAGCCTGTAACAACTTAGGCCTTGTGCCTAAGTCGTTCCCNACTCTGTCCTATTGGCCGTCAGGTGATGGGACATGTGAACTTCAGTAATAAATGCAAAGTCTTAGCTAGGCAAGCTAAGACATCTGATTGGAGGACTCAGTGGGCGCTGACATAGGACCTTTACACGTGTGCCTCTCTGACTGGTAACTTAAAGATCTTGTCAGTGATCCATAATCATTAATCACTATTATGCCTTGAAGGACTTCAACAGCTTGTCGAGTAAGTTACTTAGAGCCGAGCTGACCTCGTATATCCGAACTTGTGTCATTTTGCCCTCGTTGGAATATGATAGTCCGAGCTAGATGACCTCTCAAGTCGGTGTCAACAATCGCTATTCTGCCCGACGTGAGAACTTGCATTGAAAACTGACTAGCAGCTTCCCAAGCATTTTGGATGAAGCCTGTAACAACTCAGGCCTTGCACCTAAGTTGTTCACTTACATAGTATCTGCGTTGGAAGGACATCTGCCCTTTACATCCAACGTGCAGTGAGTGTAGATGCAAAGAGTGTGTTATTTGTGGGGTACTAGTTGCAATAATTGCTTAATTTGCACGAGAGTGCGTCCTGTACTTTATTCGTAGCAAATATTATCACCGAAGACCCAGGATCTCTTTGTCTCCGATTCGGTGTGGTGCTGGTGGCTCATGGCTTTGTCGAGTGTCGGTTGAAGTTCATCTGAATTCTGAATAGGAAAATGGCTTTTGATATATTAGGTTAGTCTTGAGATTATTAGATATATATTAGGATTATTGGGTAATAATAATATATATATGTAATAGAAAATTAGAAATTGACAAAAATACCCACACTTGACAAAACTATTGAATTTTACATATTTGGATTTTTCAGAAATTTTCATTTTTATATATTTTTTCTCCGGTCCGATTTGGTTTTAAACCGCAATTAAAATTCTCAAACCTAAACCACACCGTTTTTGACCGGATTGGTTTGGTTCAAAACCATTTCGTTGATGGGTCCACGTGGCACCAAACCGACGGTTTCTAAAATGCGGTTTCGGTTCAATTTTCCGGTTTGGCAGTTTTTTCTTACAGCCCTAAGAGATACCATATATTTTGGCTTTTGCGTCTTCATTTACCACTATATATTACTATCTCTATCCGTCTGTTGCAATGGAAGTGTGGACCTAGGATTTTTATAGAGGGGAATGTAACCCAAAATATATGTGTATTATGCATGTGTTAAATATAATTACTAAGCACGAGGGATTAAAATATAGATTTTAATTTAAATCAAAATCAACAATTAATTTTAACCATATATTATATGGGACTCAAAACTTTTTAAACGCACATTTTTATCAACTTTTATCAAAATTTGCTAAAAATCGGATTTTAATCTTCACCAAATAAGGGCTAAAGCTCATTATTGGATGAGGAAATTACATAAATCCAGGTGTTTAAACTTCAAAGTTTAAAAATCAGGCATGAAGATTTTTTTAATCAAAATTCAGGTATTGAATTAATAATTAAATATTATACCCACGTAAACCCTAATTTTATTTCATTTCTCTCCCTTCATTTCTCTTCCTCTTCTCCCTCTTCATTTCTCTCCTTTCTTTCTCTCTGGCAGCAGGCGACCCATTCCAACTCCGACAACCTGTCGTCGTCTCTCTATTGTCAACATGCTGCCGCCGTCACCGCTACAGCAACTCGTCGTCTCTCTACTTCAGTCGTCGATGCAGCAACTCGCAAGAATGGTGGTCACAGTGATGGCGGATCTGGTTGTCGCGTTGATTGCGGTGATGGTGGTAGCGATGATGGTGGCGAAACCAGTTTGTTGTTGGAAATGGTAGTTGTGGTTGTGGCCGAAAATGGTGGTGGTTGTGGAGTGCTGGCTATGAGGTTACGGTGGTTGTGGTGTGTTGGCTGTGTTGGGTGGCGGATCTGGTGGTCGCAGTGAGGTGCGGTCGCCTTGATGGCGGTAACAGTGGTTGTGGAGTGTTGGGTAGCGGATCTAGTGGTTGCGATGAAGTGTGGTCGCGGTGATGGAGGTGATGGTGGTCGTGGCGGATCTAGTGGTCGCAGTGATGGTGGCGGGATCTTGTGGCGGGATCTGGTTTGGATCTTATTTGTTGTTGGAAATGGTAGTTGTGGTGGTGGCTAAAAATGGCGGAGGCGACGACAACACTGTGAGGTGATGGCAATTTGTGGAGTGTTAGCTGTTGGTGGTTGATTGAAGTTACAGGTGGATGTGGAGGAAGTGTGTGGTGTTGGAGCAGGCGTTTGTGGGGGTGGCGGAGGCAATGTGTGTAATAGTCATGGCGTCGTTTTCGGCGGTGGTGGTGGTGCGTTTCTATTGTTGGCGACGCTGGTGCGTTCTGTGGTGGTGGTAGGGTGTTGATGGTGGCGGTGTTTGAGTTGTTGGTGGGGACGGTGGTGGGATAACGTTTATGACCAATTATTTGGTTAATTTGTGATTAAGTATTGGTGGTGGATCGAGATCGGGATCGGGGGTCGGGTGTTTGGTGTATGTGACCAACTATTCGGTTTATTGTAACTAACCATTAAACCGTGATCTTAAAATTCGATAATTTGTAACCAACAAATTTGAAAATATGTGAATAAATTGTGACCTATAATTTTTTTGATCTGTGACCAATGAAATAAATTGTGACGTATAAACTTTTTGATTTGTAACATCAAAATAATTTGTGACCAATTAATTTAATAATATGTGACCAATAAATAAGTTGTGACCTATAATTATGTACACATGACCATTAATTGTATAATTGTGAATTTATTATAGTTAAATAATAATTATTTTTAATTAATTAACTAAATACCTGAGATTTGCATTTTTTAAACATAACACCTGATTTTTGCAATTGTGAAACTTAATGCATGATTTGTGAACTCTTCCCTCATTGGATACCTAAAGATGGGCCCATATTGTCACCCAGACACATTTTCATCCCAACAGGAGTAACAACTTTGGCAATTTTTCTCATTCTCATTATTCTGTTTTTTTCATGGTGGAAGGGCTATATAGGAGGCAGGATCTCAAGGGAACAAGGTGAACAAATAGACATTTCTTAGTATTTAAGCAAGAATGTAAATTTTGAATTGTCGTATTTAATTTTATGGATAGTCTTACAGTAGTAATGCATCAGATGACAACTATGGAAGTTACTCTCAGATTTAGGATAAATAATTTTTCCGTGGTGATGTGACCATGGCCAAGCAATAGATCAAAGAAAAACTAGAACGTAATCTCTTGTGAGGGTGCATATATGGACATGCAAATCTCATATTTACTGTATATATAGAGAAAAAGAGATGACGGAATTCTTAGCTATATAGCTTACAGTGAATTCCACATCTAAAAATTGCTCTTTTCCAGAACTAACGGGATTAGATTTGCGAACGGGCTTTTTCACTTTTAGACAAATCAAAGCCGCTACAAACAACTTTGATGCTGCAAATAAAATTGGGGAAGGTGGTTTTGGATCTGTCTACAAGGTATGTAACAATATGAACTTCCAATTTTTCCCTCTTATACTTTGTCTATACCTTCGCGCTTATATTTTTCTAACATTTATATATGCATGCATGTGCGTAATACTATAATGCTTCATTTGCATGGTATACTCTTGGATGGTAGTGTAATTGCTGTCAAGCAGCTGTCTTCCAAATCAAAGCAAGGGAACCGTGAATT